TTTAAATTTCGTTTATACTAGTCTTTTTTTTTAAAAAATTGTGTTTCGAAATTTTTAAGTTTAATTTTTTTTTTTGTTTGGGTAAGCGTTTTAAGGTAATAATTCTTTTTTTTTTTTTTCCCCTTTCCTCGAGCCACATCGAGGGACAGATTATTTTCGGTTTTTGGAAATTTGTTTTAAAGAAATTTCGACGAGGGAAAATTGATCGAACTGAAGTTTAGTAGAATTTTTTTTTTGCCGTTCACACGATTAAATTTTCTTCAAATTTTCTTGTTGAAAGCCCTTTACTATTTATTAAAACAAAATAATGTGTTAAAAAAAAAAAAAACAACAAACAAACAAAAAAAAAAACAACAACAAATTTCTGTCGATTCATTTTCCGTCAACGAAAATTTCCTTCAAACAAATTTCCGGATACGGTTATTTTCCTGGTTTATTCCATTTAGAGAAATTTTGAGTTTTTTTTTTAAATTTATTTGAGAGCTTACTATGGAATGATAACCCGAGGAGAGCAATGACGCTAACTTTCATGCCAAAGTTCAAGTGAAGAGCGCAGCTATTGTTTGCTATTGATTTGTTACTGCTGTATTGTAAGGAGTTGGAATGTTTCGATTCTTTAAAAAGTTACAGTGATAAAGTGAAGGTAAAGATAGCAGATGATGGGATGTGAAGTAGGCTGTGATAAAGTGAAGGTATAGAAAGCAGATGGTGTGATGGGAAGTAGGCTGTGATCTAGTGAAGGTATAGAAAGCAGATGGTGTGATGGGAAGTAGGCTGTGATCAAGTGAAGCTATAGAAAGCAGATGGTGTGATGGGAATTAGGCTGTGATAAAGTGAAGCTATAGAAAGCAGATGGTGTGATGGGAAGTAGGCTGTGATAAAGTGAAGGTATAGAAAGCAGATGGTGTGATGGAAAGTAGGCTGTGATCTAGTGAAGGTATAGACAGCAGATGGTGTGATGGGAAGTAGGCTGTGATAAAGTGAAGGTATAGAAAGCAGATGGTGTGATGGGAAGTAGGCTGTGATAAAGTGAAGGTATAGACAGCAGATGGTGTGATGGGAAGTAGGCTGTGATAAAGTGAAGGTATAGAAAGCAGATGGTGTGAAAGATGGTGTGATGGGAAGTAGGCTGTGATAAAGTGAAGGTATAGAAAGCAGATGGTGTGATGGGAAGTAGGCTGTGATCTAGTGAAGGTATAGACAGCAGATGGTGTGATGGGAAGTAGGCTGTGATAAAGTGAAGGTATAGAAAGCAGATGGTGTGATGAGAAGTAGGCTGTGATAAAGTGAAGGTATAGACAGCAGATGGTGTGATGGGAAGTAGGCTGTGATAAAGTGAAGGTATAGAAAGCAGATGGTGTGATGTGAAGTAGGCTGTGATAAAGTGAAGGTATAGACAGCAGATGGTGTGATGGGAAGTAGGCTGTGATAAAGTGAAGGTATAGAAAGCAGATGGTGTGATGGGAAGTAGGCTGTGATCTAGTGAAGGTATAGAAAGCAGATGGTGTGATGGGAAGTAGGCTGTGATAAAGTGAAGGTATAGACAGCAGATGGTGTGATGGGAAGTAGGCTGTGATAAAGTGAAGGTATAGACAGCAGATGGTGTGATGGGAAGTAGGCTGTGATAAAGTGAAGGTATAGAAAGCAGATGGTGTGATGGGAAGTAGGCTGTGATCTAGTGAAGGTATAGAAAGCAGATGGTGTGATGGGAAGTAGGCTGTGATAAAGTGAAGGTATAGAAAGCAGATGGTGTGATGGGAAGTAGGCTGTGATAAAGTGAAGGTATAGAAAGCAGATGGTGTGATGGGAAGTAGGCTGTGATAAAGTGAAGGTATAGAAAGCAGATGGTGTGATGGGAAGTAGGCTGTGATAAAGTGAAGGTATAGAAAGCAGATGGTGTGATGGGAAGTAGGCTGTGATAAAGTGAAGGTATAGAAAGCAGATGGTGTGATGGGAAGTAGGCTGTGATAAAGTGAAGGTATAGAAAGCAGATGGTGTGATGGGAAGTAGGCTGTGATAAAGTGAAGGTATAGAAAGCAGATGGTGTGATGGGAAGTAGGCTGTGATAAAGTGAAGGTATAGAAAGCAGATGGTGTGATGGGAAGTAGGCTGTGATAAAGTGAAGGTATAGAAAGCAGATGGTGTGATGGGAAGTAGGCTGTGATAAAGTGAAGGTATAGAAAGCAGATGGTGTGATGGGAAGTAGGCTGTGATAAAGTGAAGGTATAGAAAGCAGATGGTGTGATGGGAAGTAGGCTGTGATAAAGTGAAGGTATAGAAAGCAGATGGTGTGATGGGAAGTAGGCTGTGATAAAGTGAAGGTATAGAAAGCAGATGGTGTGATGGGAAGTAGGCTGTGATAAAGTGAAGGTATAGAAAGCAGATGGTGTGATGGGAAGTAGGCTGTGATAAAGTGAAGGTATAGAAAGCAGATGGTGTGATGGGAAGTAGGCTGTGATAAAGTGAAGGTATAGAAAGCAGATGGTGTGATGGGAAGTAGGCTGTGATAAAGTGAAGGTATAGAAAGCAGATGGTGTGATGGGAAGTAGGCTGTGATAAAGTGAAGGTATAGAAAGCAGATGGTGTGATGGGAAGTAGGCTGTGATAAAGTGAAGCTATAGAAAGCAGATGGTGTGATGGGAAGTAGGCTGTGATAAAGTGAAGGAATAGAAAGCAGATGGTGTGATGGGAAGTAGGCTGTGATAAAGTGAAGGTATAGAAAGCAGATGGTGTGATGTGAAGTAGGCTGTGATAAAGTGAAGGTATAGAAAGCAGATGATGTGATTTGAAATAGGCTGTGATAAAGTGA